AAGTAGGTGCGTGAATGATGTTGACCGCATTGTCCATCGAGTTGAAATATCTGGAACAGAGCGCAAGGACGGCCGATTTGGGTGGTAATTCCGCTCGCAATTCGATCTCGGTTGCTGGCGCGGCTCCAAGCAAGAACGTAGGTCCTTCTCTGGCGCTGGCCGGCTTCGACATCATAACCTTCTCATAGCTCTTTTCCAAATCCTTCTTGTGATTCGCAAAATATGTCTTCACTTCGGATATATCCGCCAATATCGTATGCCAATGTTCCTGGCCAACGTACATTGACTTGCCCTTGTCTGAGTCGACCTTCAATACGCCCAAAGATGTCGCCAACTCGCCGTCGGGATCACTGTCTTCGTCATCATCTCGCATTTGCGTCTCGTCCTCGGGATCAATTTTGGCCGAGGTGGGCGTGCTGTCAGTATTCGATTTGGTTGTCGAGGCGGCTGTCACGGCAGCAGCAGCTGCTGCGGTTGAAGGGTCAATAGTGGCACCTCCGTGCATCAAAGACAAAACTAGGCCTTCTAAACGGTCAATACGGTTCTGCATGTCATCGGGGCTCGAAGAGCCTTGACTTTGGTTCTTTTTACGAGTGGCAGGAGTTGCGTATGAACATGAGGACGCGTCACCACCCTCGCGCTTCACACAATTACTGCACGGGTGACCTCTGTCACATTTCCTACAAAATGGTCAGTCGACGTTTGTATGATGGGTCGTGGAGTTCTTCTCACAATCTGCGAAGCATGTTAGCGAGTTGGTTTGGAAAAAAAGGCATTTACAGTGCACTCACTTCCTAGTCCGACACGGATAGCAACTAAGAGGTACTCTGTTCCTCTTCCTCACAACTCGAAACTGCTCCTCGGGTGACCGACCTGATCCCGAGGAGGGCGTCGTGGACGGTGGTGTGGGAGTCATGTTGGCAACGGAATCCGTGGAACAGGTAGATGCGTCGTCGAAGACCTCTGGCGATGACTTCCACGGATATGAAAACGTGCTTCGGACTCAAGGTCCTATCTAGCACAGAACGCGCAGGTGTATCCTCTTCGCTTCGGAACAAGTGATGGTACCGGTGGGGAAAGAGCCCTTATACGGCGAGGCAAGAAGAAAAGGCTCGACTAGCTGGCTGTCAGACACTCAGGACGAGTGTACAAATTTAGCCACTGAAACGTTGACAACGGCCAGACCGTCGGCAGCCTAAACCTGGAGGAGCGGTTTCGGCAGGTTGGTGCAGTTGCCGAGTACTTCAACAAGGCCCGGCCAAGTGTATGAAGCGCAAGTAATGTGACCGTCCGGCCTTCAGAGGTGCGCTACTCGAAGCTCGTTGGTCGCAATGCGAAGCCGTGGCCTAAGACCAATGACCGTCGTTTCGCCTCAAAGGTCAGCGACTGCTTGGAAAGCTCGTCACTTCGCAGAGGGCGAGGGAGGTAAGGCAGCTAGATGTCGAGGCTGCTGACAGAGTCGCAGTGTGATAAAGGCGCCAGAGAAGAAGCGCAATCTTGCCACAGGGTCTGACAGGCGACGACAATCGTAAGTCAGATCGGTCGACCCGTGTACGGATACAAGGTAGGGAGCAATTGGAGATGGTAGTCGGTGGGAGGTTCCGCAATGCGCAGGGGTATCAAGATAGGGTCGGTGTCGAGGCACCAAAGTAAGATGCGGGCGCAATGCAGGGTAGACTCGATATGCCGCAGATGTTTGTGGCAAGTGTCGGAAAGCGGTAGCGCAAGTCAGCGCAACGACAAGATGGCGAAAGAAAGGTAAAGTGTCGGTAGGTTGCGATCGCGTCTTTGGCGGCGGCGTCAGCTTTTTGGTCATTCGGGTTGGGGCAAGGGAAGGATTCGAGTGGTCCGCGACCACACAATGCCCAAGCAAGTCAAGACTCACCACTGGGAGGTACTTTTGCCCTGTGCTAGACTCTACGCGAAGGAAGAAATGGAATGATGACCAAGCCACGAATTGAGAGAAGTCCAAGTCAAGAGATTGCCGTGTAACGTCTGCAGCAGTTGGGCGACTTGCGGGGTGAGCGAGCATAGGTCAAGATAAGAGGATGGAGGGGGAAAGTTGAGATTGCTACGAATACTATCGCACTCGAAAGATTCGACAAAATCATGAACAGCACCCGCAGGCTGCCATCAGCATGATCAGCGAACGACAGGTAGGGGGTGGATAGGTACGTAAGGGGGTACCTTTCTCTGGATAAGGTAGTCAAGGGAAGGGAAGAGACCCGCCACCAGTGTTCCTTTCTCTCCTTCCTCTTTTCATCCTCCTCCTCACCACTCCCGTCCCGCGAAGTAGCCGCATTGGAGGTTCTGCTGATCAGGACGGCTTACATACGCGTGTGTTGATGCCTACTCACAGCTAACCCTGCACAAATGGCGCTAAGATGTAACGCAGACAAGGATGGCATAGCACACCTGGCAAACCCTGAACTCTCAAGATGTGGTGGGTTGCCGATACTCGCATATCTCACATTTATTCGGATACAAGCTCATCCAAGAAGGATTGGGCGATGGAGTATTCGGATAGCGTTCACCCCCCTCCCTCCCTGCTGCCCACACGTTCTAGGTCCAAAGACGTTAGGTACATGCTTCTTACATGCTTCTATCCGAGCTGCGTGGCTACATGCTACATAAGCAAGTAGGGAACCCGAAGCGCACCTCAATAAAGGATAAACTCAGTCCCCAGGCTCGGTGTCGGTAGTCTCCAGCAATTTCTTGGCTGGGATGGAACCCTGAATAACTTAGAATGCTAGCGGCTCAAATGGCATTCTAGAATGGACCTGCGACGGACTTAACGGAATTAAGAGTGGACCGCCGTCAGCAGCGACCGTCCAGTCTTTGGTCTGGAAACCTTGGTTGACGTTGCCCATGTTAGAGATTCAGCACAAGGCAAGAGTCATTCAGCGAAAGCTTACGAGGTATGTGGAATAGTGCAAACTCATGCACCATGCTTCTAACCGGCTAACTATGGCCCAATAAGGTGGGCTTAGGCCGGATCAACATCGGTCTTATTCTTCTTGCGTATAAACGGCTTACACGCAAGAGATATGGGACAAGACATTAGGTACCTTACTTAAGGTAGGTATACAGCACCTTGGGTTATCTGCAAAGCGTCCGAGTCATGGAGAGAAAGGCAGTCACTCAGTAGTATTATTGTCTCCATCAATCCGCGCACAAAAACATGGAAGCAAGTCTGGGCAAAATTCTGCCATAATGTTCTCAGTCTCAATCAAGGCCAAGGGCTGGCGGAGAGGCACCTGAGTGTCCAGTACCTACCCTCTCGAGCTGAGTTGATGACGAAAGCGGGATGGCTTGGAGGCTTGGAGTCAAAGAAAGAACACCCCACTTGACGAATAGCCCGTCTAGCAATGTAACCCTCCAATAGGAATCCTTTCCTACTAATTGACGTCAACCTCAAGTCCCCCAATTCCCCAGCTCGTCGCTCCAATCCGATACTTACTACATACCTACTGCTCTGGGCTTCGAACAACACCAGCAAATCAGACGACAACAACCTCATGTCGAACGCTTACGCCCAGCATCCATTCTCATCTGCACAGGTTACACAAACAACAACAACAACAAGGTCTACGAATCCACGGTAGCCTAAACATGATAATCAACTCCTCTGCCGATCTCCTCGGATGCTCCGCTGCCTCCGCAACCGCCAATTGCCCCCTCCTCGTACGCCGACAAGGGTGCCATACTCTTGTGCGCTTGTTCTCGGCCACTGGCCGTGTGACTCATCTAAGGTAGTCAACGACACGGCACATGTGCCCAAGCTATAATCACTCCATGGGCTCACAACTCGTGAGGAGAACCTGATACTCTATCGCCGAGGACCAGTCGTGTTCCGACTCCCAATTAAACATCTCTGCCTCGATTTGTCAGCGACTTATCACCGAAGAACGCAAAACCATCTGAAGTCGAGTTCTATCGTGATGACGGTCACCCATCACCATCGTCATCCCTACTTCAGGTCGGCAGTTTCCCACGGACTGTTCTAGGATTGATTGCCCATCGGCCAGCGTCGGCATCCTCCCCGGTCTCCATCGGCGAGGGCGCACATCCCACCTCTGAGTCTTTGCTTGGTGGGACGAGCCTTTCCCTCGGGACCATCACGTTAGACCAAGACCTTGATAATTGGTTGGACGAAAAGGCCAGCAACTCGGTCCGACAGTCCAACTGAGCACAGAAGTCTATTCAAACTTCTACCCTACAAGGCTCGAATGGAGAACCAACGACGAAGTCTAGGCCATTGGATCGAGCCAGTGGGCGGTCCTTGGGGCCCAACTTAACCCCTTTACAGCGACCCCGTCGACCCCAAATCACCGATTATTCGCCCCTGCCGTCAGCACTAAACTCATACAGTCCTCGTCTCCTGCCGAAGCGCTGAGCCAAGCCCCTGGAAGCTCCTCGTGGGCGATCGCCATGCAGTCGTTGTAAAACGCATGGCGTTGGTTGTCCACTCGACCTTTACACTGGAGCCTGGAGGCAGGGCTGCCGGCAGTTGTGAAAAGAGCGTTCGGGTCCGAGGATAACACCCCCGCGATACTCGACCGTTCGGCATACTTCCGCTCTTGCTTCTTCTTTTGCGCCCGTTGAGCTGCATTACAAAAGTGCCACTAAGTCTTTGACTAGTTTCAGCAACTCAGCTGTCGGCCGTGTTCCTGAGGGAGCACTCGGTATGTGATCAGTGGTTGGTAAGTTTCCATGTGAATCCTGTGGCTACACAACAGTGACTTTCGTCAATTTCAACAGAGCAGTCATCACAAAGAAAGTACTCTTTTGATAACTCGGTGAAACTTGAATTCTGCCGTGTAACTTATTGGCTTCATTCGGCCGTATCTCATATGCATCGCTAAAAGCCCATATCCCAAGACTTCGTTATAAGTCATCTCCCGTTAAGAAGTACAACAGAACTTATACCAACGCCTCTAATACCCTGACTCAAAATCAAATTTAAAAAAGCACAAACTTCCAACGACACAGAACTCCTTCTACGCCAGGTTGCTCTTAATGTTGGCATACTGACTGTTGGGGTAGCTCAACAAATTCTGGTTTGAATCCAGCTTGCCCATCTTGCTCGCCAACACACCCACCAGGCTCCCCTCGCCCTTGCGGTCACCAGCGGCTTCCCAGAAGACGGCACCGCCGAGTTTATTGTCGAGCAGGTACTGGGCCTTGACGCCCGCGCTTGCGGGGTTGTCGTAGCTGATGAGCTCCTTGGTCGAACTATCATAGCTGTACAGCGCACCCGCCGTCGAGTCGTATATCTCGACGGCGCCGGCCTTGGGGAGAACCTTGTAGTGCCACACGCCCGGCTCGATGGAGCCCGTGCCGACGCCGGAGTAGGGCAATCCGATGCCGTTGGCCGTGTTCTCAAAAGAGCGGCCGTACAGCGGCAGACCGAGGACGATTTTGTTGGAGGCGATGCCTTGGGAGAGGTAGTACGTCAGCGCGGTCTGGGTGTCGAACTTGGTCGCCGTGGGGTTGGTCGGGTTCTGGTAGAGGTTGGCCTGGTGGCCGGTGGTGGTGTCCCAGGAGCCGGCGTAGTCGTAGGCCATGAGGTGCCATGCGTCGACGTAGGGGTCCATGCCGCGGAGGTTCATCTGCTGGTAGTGCGAGGGACCCGCGGGGCAGGCGATTGTGAGGGCAAAGTGGTACCCGTTTGCGTTGGCCGCGGCGTAAGCGTCGAGTTGGGACCGGACTTCCTTGAGAAGGGCGACAAAGTTGGTTGCTTCCGTGTCGCTGGCGGGGTATTCCCAGTCGATATCGAGACTGCAAGAAAGGGGGTTTCGTCAGATGATGGCATGCAAGTGTATGTGAGTGTCGTTCTCCTTACCCGTCAAAGCCCCAGTCGATCATGAGTTTGATCGCGGAGGAAGCAAATTGCTTACGAGCCGTGTCCGAGGCGGCGACGGCGGGGAACTTGCTGGACCAGGTCCATCCGCCGATGGACAGGACGAGCTTGAGCTGGCGGTTCTGCTTCTTGAGGGCGTAGAGCTGCTTGACGCAGCCGTAGGCGTTGCCATCTTGGTTGTCGTCGCCAGAGTACTTGCGCTGCGTGTCCGAGTAAGGGTCTGACGAGACGCTGTTTCTTTTGTTAACTTGTCTTATCCCTTGCGTTTTTCCTACCAAGTTTGGTTATTTTTTAGAGCACATACACCGTTCCATCTGACTGGATATCCGCAAAGGAGTAGAGTAGGTGCGTCACCTTGTCTGCGGGGATGTCTGCCGGTTGGTAGTTCGCCCCATAGACGCCCCTGAAGCAAGAGTTAGCATGGGACAACTTGGGATTCTTTGCAGATGTAGGGGTGTTTACGTACCAATTTGTAAAGTACAAGACATTCCTGTATCCCGATGCCGGGGTGCCGGTGCCGGTGGCAGGCGGAGATACGACGCCCGTGCTGGACACTCGTACTGTCGATAGGGAGGACGGAGCAGCAGCAGCTGAAGAACCCGCCGCCGATGTTCTCACCGACGAGGAAACGACGGGTACCCCCGCCGAAGTCGGGGATGCAGGACGAGAAGAAGTGAGAAAGGAGGAGGAGACGGTGATGGCCGGCCCCGAGGGCGAAGGAAGCGACACCGCGGGCGGACTCGTTGGCACAGCCGTCGTCCCCGCCGCCTGGGAGGAGGTGGGTATCGTGACTTGGGTGGTGGACACCACCGTCCCCGGCTTTCCGCACGTCGGGCGTACCGAGCGGCGCTCGTGTACTGGCACCGCGCCGGCGACGGAAGCCAGGGCGGCAAGGAGAGGTAGGAGGAGCGTTGATCCGATCATGATTGGCAAAACAGCTTCAGCACACGGTGAATGGAGAAGGCTGGTTTCTACCTTGTTGATCGACAGGGGAAGTGTAGGAAAGGGAGGAGCAAGGCAGGACGGTCTGGTGCGAAGATGAGAGGCTCTTCTTATTGTTTCTTGTTTCGTCGTGATACTTGAGCCCCCACCTCCTCCCACTTCTGAACAGTGCCTCTCGACTGTTCAGGGAGGGGGTCGACGACGGAGGGGTATGGCGTGGATGCTTCATGGCGAGGAATGAACAGAGTCTGATAGTGTGAGTTTCACCCAACCTCCAAGACCCTTCTAAAGTTCCAAGTGATGCTAGAAAATAGTATTGGAGTCATTGGAATGAGAGGCTGTGATGGAGGTGTGGAGGATGGCGTGGTCCCGTTGAACAGCCCCCCCTTGACATCGCAGTCGTGGACTCCTGGTGGCCAGGGACAGACACCACGAGGAGGAATGGGGGATATCCACCCCGGAGTTCTGGATTTCCTCCCCCAGTCAGGGAACATCTGCAACATGGGCTGGAAAAGAAAAAAGACAAAGGGAATATGAGACTTTCGGCATGCGTTTACCGGAAAGACAAACCAACAAGTTTACCAAAAAATTTGGTTCACTGATCTAGTTGAAGACAGAAAGGACTGAATGCCTGTGAGTGGAACAACGTTTCCTTCTCCCAAACCCGACTTTGATTGTGATGGTGATACTTTGATGAGACTTCAAAACTGAACACAACTGCCAACAAAACCTCCTGATTGGAGTCGCTGATAGATTTGCCTAGCCCAATAGGAAGTTCTTAGCATTGGACAGAATCCTTTCGTGTGAGCCCCTCTGGTAAGCACTAGTCGCTTCGAATGAGGATGTGTCTCTTTCTTGAAAGACTAAATGTTGTTCAAGTGATGCGAGAAAAGATGAGAGAGCTGCGAGGTTGGATCGGGGTTGTAGTCGGAGAAGGGCTGGCGGCAGACGTATCCGTACCTGGCGGGGACCTGGGGTGCCGGAAGTGTCCCGCTTTTCCCGGGGGGGGGGGGGGGGAAGTGCCACGCTGAAGAATGGAAACCCTGCCACTTTCACGCAGCACAGCGCAGCGGGAGCGCCCGATGTACCTTGCCCGCTGACAGCTGTCATCCCATCCCACCTCAATTACCGTAGGTCCAGACAAGATCGAATGCTTCTTCTCCATGACCCGTTCTGTTGCAACTGTATCCTGGTGTAATCTTTCATTTACACATTAGATCTTCCCAGAACATCATATTAGCCCTCCGGAGACTCAAGCAAAGCAGGATCCAAGGGCAAGCAAACGCCACGAGTGTGTAGACTTTTTCAAAGGTACCAAGGCAGGTCGTAACATTCCATAGACCAGAAAAAAGTCTCCCCGCCCTGGCTTACACGCCAATACATGGCTGACAGCTCACACGCTGCGCCGCCCCTGAGAACAATGTCTCGGCTGACATGCCCGACTTCTATCATTTCTTGGAGGCTCTTCTTCTTTTTCGAGGTTTCAATCGAGTGAAGAGAATCAGGTATTCAATAGTCTGGTACTACAGTCTCGGCGACAGCAACCTAGGGCTGAAGCAAAAGTTTTCAGCTCAAGGTAACAGAGTAATTTCAACTTCAACGTCGCGCGAGCCAACCACAATGCCTCCATCACGAATTTCTTCAAGACCGAAGACTCAACTTACACGCAGGGCCCACCAAAGACTCCAGCAAATCCAACAAAGACCCCTTTCCCCTGATGATTCTCCATTCAGCTCTTGTCTCGCTTTCCAAAACGTAAAACAATAGACTCCCTCTCTCGGAAGTGTGAACACAATCCATAACGGTGGGCATCCCACTTTCGATATCCCATAGGCTCTCCAAGTTTCCAACAGCGCCCGAATTCGACCTCCCTTCCCCAGGGTCTTCAAGCTCCCTTGCCATCAAGCCCCTGCATCCCCATCTCCCTCCTTTCCCCCCTCAGCCCTTTCAGCAACAGCAGCAGCCGGGACCCTCTCGGCCCTCTCAAACCACATCACTAATGCGTAGGTGTTTTTGAAGTCTTTGATTTGTTTGTGGATTTGTTTTATTACCCTAGCTGCAAGTCCGGCAGGATGCCGTAGTATTTTGTCTACTATATACTGCGATTCAAGCTCACGCGATTCCGTCTCGTTGTTCTTGTGATCTAATAGCATCCCCATGGATGCCGGCTTCGTGGGGTGATTGTGGAGTGACGAAAACTGCCTCAGACATGCCACCTGTATTACGGCAGGCCTCAACACCCGGGGAATGATGTCAATTTCTTGCATCCGTACGTAGTCCAGCTCCTTCTGATTGGAAAACTTATGCATGTAGTAGCCACGACAAGGACTGCTTGGGATGAAGTGTAATTTTGGGGGGTATCGTCTCTGTCTCCTCACTCCTGTATATGGGGGGGTCATCCTTCTTGCGTTCCATCATCTAAACCTGTAAACCAAATAAAACGATCCATACATCTCTTAAATCTCCGTCTTGGCCAGTTTCTTGGCCAGATCGTCCACCTCCTTGTCCTTGAGCTGGACCGTGGGCTCCTCTTGGGCCTCCTCGGCCTCCTTGGTGAGGATCTCGGCCTCCTTCTCGGCATCCAGCTCCTCTGCCTCAGATTCCTCTTCCTCCTCCTCATCAGAGTCCTCTCCCTCGAGGTCGCTCAGGCTGTCGAGTCCCCAGGCGTCCTCATCAACGACATCGCCACCAATCTTCTCCTTGCGCTCCTCAAGGAACTCGCGGATGGAGATGATGAAGGGGTCCTCCTCCTCAACCTTGTTGCCGTTCAGCTCGACCTTCTTCAACGCAGGCAAAGACTTGGTGACGACGCTGGCGATGCTCTCCAGCGCCGTGGGGGTGATGTCGTTGAAAGCCAGGCGAAGAATTTCCAACTTGTCCTGCTTGCCCTTCGCAAGAGACTTGGCGACAGCCTTGGTGCCCTTGGGCGTAAGGTAGGCATCGTTGAGGCCGAGCTCCTGCAGGTTCGTCAAGTTGGGAAGAACGCCGGCGAGGGCCTTGGCGCCGTTGATGGTGAAGGTGTTATCCTGAAGATCGAGGATGCGCAACTCGGTCGCAGTGTTCAAGCCCTCGCTAATAAGGTGGCTGATACCCTCCTGGCGAATGCCGTTCTGGATCATCCTGATCTCCTTGATCTTGTTGTGAAGGCTGTAGGCCTTGGCCCAGGCCTGCATACTGCCGTTCTCCAAACGGTTGCGACCGCAAATAACAGTCTCAAGGTACGGAACTTCCTTGCCTTCCTTTCTCGCCGCCTCCTTCTTGACGTGCAACTCAGAGAGCGCATCCGCCACCAGAATTCCAGCATGGGGGCCGAGACCGTTGTTGTTCAGGTAAAGGTGCTGGAGGGGCACGTGGGCAGCTAGGAAAGCGACGACCGGGGCCTGAGTGTTGATACCAAAGGCATTATCGTTCAAGTTGATCGTCGTGAGCTTAGGGAGGTTGAGAATAGAAGTAAGGAGGGAGGACAGGGCCTCGGGGATTTCGCTCAGGAGACGGCCGGTGAAGATGTCGGAGAGGTCGGCGGACTAGTTCACTCTTGGTCAGTGGATGGTTATACGTGTGTTGGAAACCCTCATCCGCCTACCTGGAGGTTCTTCTTGGTGGCCAGGACCTCACCAAGGAGCTTGCAAGCACCGACTCCCAGGGTGTTTCCCAGGAACCTGACCTCCTCGACATCGGTCGAGCGCAACTCAGCGATGTGGGGCTCGAGGTCGGCACCAGTATCGAGCTTGAGACCCCTTCCCTCAAGAGAGAACAGCTTGCGCGTGGTCGCCATGATGGAATTTGTTGATAATCAAGGAGTGTTGAGAAAAGCAGGGAGCAAGGTGGCAGCGAATGCGCAAAATGAGTGTCTGTCGGGGATGTTTATGGTGGGGGAGGGGTTAAACAAAGTCACTTTATTTTGTTTTCGACATGACCCCCGAGTCACAATTGCAGGGGGCCAGCCCGGGTGGGTGCCTGTGTGGCATGCGTGCCTGGGTGCCACTGGGTGCCACTGGGTGCCAGGCACCGACTGGCCAGGGGGTGAAAGCCGTCATTTCACACTCACAGCTGGCGTCCACTGTTGAGTGATTGAGGTTGCCCTTGACACCTGGCACAGTTGGTTTGGTTTGGTTTGCTAAGGTAAGTGGACCCACAAGGTGAGCTCCGTGAGCCGCGCTGCTCGTCGCGACACCCTGCGGATTGAACCCAGGCGCAAACACCATTAAAGTTGTCAGGAACGAGGCCGGTGTGATTTTTCTAGCGATTGGCCTACATCCCACTGGTTCCTCCCAATTCATTCATCATCACATCCTCGACAGCAACGTATGGCTCATCTTTGATCATTTCGACCTCCCATCTCTTTTCCTCTCGCAACGATAATTATTACGATCGATCACCGAACAACCCACAGCCATCCATTCATTGCTGCATCTTTCAAAGTGCTAGGTTTCCATCATTCAACGGCTCAACATGGCTCGCGGAGACTCAACACCGCCCGATTCACCCCTCACCTCGGACCACAACGATACCTCCGAGGAAGAGGAGGTCCACGACTACGAGGACGAGTCGCTCCTTCGTCCCTCGAAGCGCCAGAAGCTGGGCGCAGCCTCAACGACGTCTCCCGCGGTGGTCGCGGAACCCGAACCAGAAGCTGTACCCGAGCCGGACCCTTTGGAGGGCATGTCGGACGTGTCTTCGGACACGTCTGGCGACATTCCCAGCTCTCCAATCAACGCCAAACTAGACGAGGAAGACTTCCAGGAGCAGGTGACCTCGTGTGCCTGGGAAGGCTGCGACGCGGGTGATTTTGGCAACATGGACAAGTTGGTGGAGCACATTCACAGCGATCACATCGAAAGCCGGCAGAAGAAATACACGTGCGAATGGACTGGATGCAGTAGAAAGAGCATGGGGCACGCCAGCGGTTATGCCTTGAAAGCCCACATGCGTAGCCATACCAGGGAGAAGCCTTTCTACTGCTATCTACCAGGTTTGTGATTGTTCTTTGCAGAGCCTCAGGGCACATTGGCTGACTGAGGAGACAGAATGCGACAGGTCATTCACGAGATCAGATGCTCTCGCCAAGCACATGCGGACCGTCCATGAGACAGAGGCCTTGCGTCCCTCCGATCCTGTCCCCAAGTCCATGCAAGCGGGCCCTACAGGAAAAGGAAAGCTAAAGATCATCATCAAGACGCCCCAGTCACACGCTGCGGGACACGATGATACCATCGATGACGGGGCTGACGACGACGAGCTCTCTGCCGACCTGTTTACTCCCTTGACTGAAGATCAAGGCTTCACTCCCGAAGAGCTCAAGATACCCCTCGAGAGGCTATACAAGCTTTGTAGATTCCAAGTCAAGTGGGCGCAAGAAGAGTCGGTCAAGCTGGCGGAAGAGGTCAAGTACTGGGAGAAGCAGTACAAGGACCTTTGGCGCGAGAAGGAGGTTCTCTTCTCCCAGGTTGTGAAGAGCGAGGTCGACTGGCACGAACGCAGGCAGGCAGTCCTTTCTGGCGCAGCAGACGTCCAGCTTTCTGGCGTGCTGGAGAGCCAAGAAGGTCCCCAAACAGCCACCAACGGAGAAGACGCAGAGTCCCAGGAAACTCCCAAGGCCGAAGCGACTCTGGAAAACGTAGCCAACACCACCGAAGTTGCCGAAGTGAGTTAGTGTCATCGCCGGGTTACATGGAACGAAAACGTCGAGTTCTAGTTGGACAGAGTGAACTAGGCCGGCGACCTCGGCAAATTCGAGGGAGTCCCCTTGGGAATCGGCGAACCTCTTGTTCTATGCATCTATGGCGGCTGATCGATGCCTTTTACTAACTCATCACGACGCACCCGAAGGACTAGATGAGTGTTGCGCGCCTGAAGCGGCTGAGGCAGCCGAGGTATCGACAGGAAACGACAAGTTATGTGGGCCAACGCCGACTCTCAAAAAGAACAGACAGTGGAAGAGGCGGGAAGCAAAATGTCGCTTACTCTCGTCAAGGCTGACACGGGACTGAAGGAAATAAGAAACGGAAGCAGGCGTCTGGCAAGAGGATGTGAAACGGGGGCTACTACAGCATCCCGCTCAGAAGCAGGGAGCATGGAGAGCGCAAATTGACGTCTCTAGTTGTGGTGCATCACGGGAGTCATGCGGAAGACGGGCAGGGAAACAGGCGTACGGAGTGTATGTACAGTAAGGAGTGGGTTTCAACTTGCATTCGGAAAAGCAGTATACGACTGCTTTACTCAATCTCGTTTCTTTGACTGTTTAGCCTTGGACATGATTCCGAACACGCCATCTCACAAAGGTGCTTTGAAACGGCATGTATTGTGAAGAGTGAATTTCTTTTGTATCAACTTAGACGCAGGATGACAGCCAAAGCTCCCTGCAGCTTCATCAAGTTTATATAAGCAGTGCCGTTTCGCCAGCATCCAATTGGTTGAATGACGGTTCCTCATTGTCTACAAACCAGCTTGCATTCTCTCTCTCTCTCTCTCTCTCTCTCTCTCTTCCCCCCTCTCTTTCCGTTCCCCCTTCTTACAAACCCTTCTTCTTGGAACGGTACGACTCTGTATTCTTAAAGGGAAACGAGCTCGTGTCCTTGTCGTAGCCATGCTTCTTGCTGCGTCGCGACTTGTCGCCGGCGAACATGAGGCACCAGAGCCCCGAGACGGCGAGGAGGGCGCTGCCGAGGCAGCCGAGGGCAAAGGCTGTCTGGCCTGTTCGCAACCACCTGCTGTAGCAGTAGAAGCCGGCCGAGGCGTGGTGGATGGAGGAGAGGATGAGGGCTGCGTTTGCGTAGGGGGAGACTGTTCCTGCGGGGGCTGTTTGGGAGGTTACTGTGTGAGCTATGGTGAAAGATATGGCGGGCAAGGAGGGGAGCAGGGGAGGGGAGGGAGGGAATACTTACTTAGGTCCTCTGATGCGAGGGGTACTGCTCCTGAGAGAGTTACGACGAGGAGGCCTAGGGTTAGGAGGGCGAAGCCTAGGGAGCGGGCGAAGTAGTCTTCCAGAGCTGGTGGTTATGGTCAGTCAGTCAGTCGACTCTTGAGGCTCACACGAGCTGGATGGCAGGGTTGACAGGGGAGACTTACAGCCTGCGGCATACTGGTAGTCATCGGGACGGAGGAGGTTGGTGATGAAGCGCGGCCATATGATGAGCGGGACGGCCTGGGTCGCGAGCCAGCCCAGGTTGCCGAAGCTGAAGGTCGATATCGCCTGTTGGTCATTGAAGAGCTAGATGTCAGCGGGGAGGGGGTTCTGTGAGATGAGGAGGATGGGTGGAAGATGCCTTACGTCCATTGAGGTTGATGTGATGAGCAATATTCGAGTTTGTTTTTTCTATGAGCTGTGATCTGGGTGGAATTGACGGGTTTGGAGGGTACGGATCACAGCTTTGAGAGCTTGGGTTGCTGTGTTAATGAAGCTTCGTGGAGCTTTGCCTTCGCGCGTGGGATGACTTAAGCTCAGGGAAAGAGAGAGAGGTACGACGAGCCGACGTCATTGGACGGGTCCCCGGCACCGCGTCCCTTGCCCGCCACGGCCTGCGTCGGCCGGCTGCAATGACCCCCTGTAAGCCATTCGACCTCCCAGGGCAAGTGGGTGACACAATAGGTAGTGTGCCACTCGTACCTTATACCCTACCTTAGCTGGCTGTTCCTGTTACTTTGATCATCGCTCTTACAATAACCATCTTTCATTTTCTTTACCCTCGACGTATTCCTTTAATAAGGTAATACATATAAGAAGTTTCGATGAGACACGTGAGGGTAGATGTGGTAGGAAAGGGTTTCCTCATGTGCTGGCTGGCATGAGGTACCCGTAACCCGACTACTTTGTCGTCCACTTGCCCCTGTAATCCATTTGGCTTGGGTTCTTAAGGGCCGATGCCGCGGTGGAGACGTCCACTTTTCCCAGTCCGCCACTGAGCGGACGCCGATTTCGCAAAGCCTAGGCGCGCCTGCACTGTCAGCGACGGGGGACGTTGACTTTTGACTCTGCAAAAAAAAAAAAAAAAACCAGTGGTGGGGGATGGATTTGCAATCAACGATTAATTCCTACCGACCACTCGTTTGCGCATCTCCGGCCGCGCGGAATACAAGGAGGGCTACCACTCGTACAGAAATAACACAGAGTTCCTATCTTTCACCTCTTGTGTAGTTTCAATACCCATTGTTAAACGTGTGGCCTACCTCTCCTACCTTACACCCCGCCCAGTTGTGTTTCGCATCGCATCGCATCCGCGCGTTGCCCCGCCATCTTCAACATCCCACCTCCCACTCCTACTCCCTCCCACAACAACTCTACTCCTCACGACAAACTCACGAAAATCCCCTCTCCAAGATGAGCGCAATCCTCTCCGCAGACGACCTGAACGACTTCATAAGTCCAGGCGTAGCCTGCATAAAACCAATCGAAACCCTCCCCTCCGCCCCGCCCCCTCCTCCATCCCTCGACGCCTCCCTCGAACACGAAGTCATTCTCGACGGCCAACCAAACTCCAACACCGCCGCCAGCAATGCGCCCCCCGCAGAAATCTCCCTAACCGACTGCCTCGCCTGCTCAGGCTGCGTCACCTCCGCCGAAGCTGTCCTCGTGAGCATGCAATCCCACACAGAGGTCCTCAACACCCTCGACTTCGGCCCTTGCCTCCGCATCGTCGGCCCGGACCCAGCCACGGGCCAGTTCCACGTCGAAGGGCTAGAAGACGAGAGCAGGATGCTCTTCATCGCCAGCGTCTCGCCTCAGACGAGGGCGAGTCTCGCTGCCGCTGCGGGGGACGGCACGACGGAGCGGCAGGCTGGGTATATGCTCGAAGCGCTCTTCAGCGGCGACGCGGGGCTCGCGAGCGGTGGGAAACACGGGAACGGGTTCACGTGGGTGTTGGACACCAATGTCGCGCGCGAGGCGTGTCTTGTTCTCGGGGCGGATGAGGTCCTGGGTGGCGGTGGTGGCAATAGCGCTTCGCCGTCCCCGTCGCCGTCCGCGGCCATACTCGCGACCAAGCCGATCCTGACATCCTCGTGTCCCGGGTGGGTATGCTACGCCGAAAAGACGCACCCTTACGTCCTCCCGCACCTGTCGCGCGTGAAATCGCCCCAGGCGCTCATGGGCACCCTCCTCAAGACGACGTTGAGCAAGAAGCTCGGGATCCCGCCCAGCAGGATCTGGCACCTGGCCGTCATGCCGTGCTTCGACAAGAAGCTCGAGGCCAGTCGCGAGGAGCTCACGGATTCGGTGTGGGGTCCCGACGGGGACGGGAAGCCCGGCAGAGGCGTCCGCGACGTGGACTGCGTTATCACGAGCAAGGAGGTTCTCATGCTAGCCGAGTCAAGGGGTCTCAATTTCTTTAATCTACCGCGGAGCAAGCCATCCGCCGGTTCCTACCAACGTACGCCGTTCCCGGACGCGAGGCTGGAAAATTTCCTCTTCCCAGCCCACGGAGCCCACCGCTCCTCCGTGGCCGCTGGCTCCTCCGGCGGCAACCTCTACTTCACCCTCCAGACTGTGGCTTCCAAGCACCCCAACTCCCAGATCCAAGTCATCCGCGGCCGCAACGCCGACGTCGTCGAGTTCGTCGTCGCCTCCGCCACGGGCGACCCCATATTCAAGGCTGCGCGGTACTACGGCTTCCGCAATATCCAGAACCTGGTCCGCAAGCTGAAGCCGGCGCGGCCGTCCCGCATGCCCGGCGGCAAGGCGTTTGGCGCCGCTAGGAGACCCACGGGAAAGTCCGCCGGGCTCGAGTACGCCTACGTCGAGGTCATGGCGTGCCCCGGCGGCTGCACCAACGGCGGCGGACAGATCAAGGTCGACGACCCTATCATTGTCGAGCGCAAGGGCTACGAGACCAAGCCGGGCCCGCTCGAGCAGAAGGATTTCCTGGCCGAGGTCGACGAGGCCTACTTTTCAGCAGAGGACTCTGATGGCGAGGAGATTGGTATTGCTCAAAACGGCGACGACGGCCTGCGCGCGGACGACATTGTTGACGGAATTTCGCCTTCTTATATTCGAGATACCCTGGCGCATTGGGCGGATAGTACTGGCATAGACTTGGGTAGACTGGCCCTGACCACGTATCGCGAGGTGGTCAGCGACGTGGGCAAGGACAAGGCTAGCGACACGGAGCGCGTCGTTCAGCTGGCGGGCAAGATTGGCGGAGGCTGGTAGTTCTTTTTTTGCTTGTTTCTCTTTTCGAAAAGGGAAGGCAAAATGAGCATAGTTAATAATTTCATCCTTCCTTTATGCCTCGCTTGGCGAAACCGAATCCACCTCTTCCAGTCCCATCCGGTCCGCGCGGGGCTCGAATGGCCTGCTTGGGCTGGTCCTCGACTTCTCTCGGGGTAGACCGGCCAGAATGCGTGTTGTATGGGTTGGAGCCGTCGCCTCCTCCGCGCTTCTGCATCCCGAAGCCGCCTCGGGGCGCGTATCCAGGGTCGTAAAGCTCGCGGCCGCTCTCGGTGCGAGCGGCGTCGGATCTGCTGCTGCCAGGTCGTCGTAGGTCATCTTGTCGGTTCGAGTTCCCTCGGTATCCGCCACCACCGCCGCCACGACCGCGTCCCCTTCCACGGCCGCGTCCTCCACCTCTTTCGTTCTCAGCGCCTCCTCCTCCCCCTCCCCCTCTAGGTGGTGTGACGGTCCCACTCGGGCTCGAGGCGCCAGAGGAAGGGTTCGACTCGCCAAAGATCTTTGCGCGCGCCTCCTCGTACCGCCGCTGCTTCTCCTCGAGCTCGCGCTGCTGCTTGGCGCGGATTTCCTCGGGCGTGAGCTGCGGCTTCTTCTCGGCGTGCTGATCGTCTGCGTCGTCGTCGGCGAGGGAGAGGTGTGAGAGGAGACCGGTGACGGGGTCGCGACGGGCGATTGTTCGGGGCGCGGGTTTCCGGCTCAGGACTTTGACCTGGGGTTTGAAGCCCGTGGCGAGCGGTACCGAGGGTTGGGCTTCGAGGAAGGTCATTGGTGTGGGCGTGGGGGAGTCGCTGTTGAAGGGGGTTCGAAGTCCATGTTAGCTACTTTGCCTTTTTCTGTGACGATCATTGCCATTGGGGTATGTGGAATAGGTAGAAGAAAGGGTAGTGCGTTGAGCATGGAATAAGGATACTCGGGGCGAGAAGAGACATACGCTGATTCCCAAAGTTTTCGATTCTGCTCGGCATGCTGGGCGAGCCGCTCTGCCTTGGTCATTGGTACCTGCGGTTCAGGCTGCACCTCTGTGGGTTGGGCGTCAAGCTGGTCGGCGGCAGACTCCCAGTCGTCATCCTCCCAGGCGTCAGGGACAATAGCGGCGCCCTTCTTGACCATCTTTTCCAGCTTTGTCGGGTGGTTTTTCCGGTGAGGTAACCCGACTCTGTGATAACGTGACCGTGATGGTGGGGGTGAAGTAGCCTCGCTAAGGTGGTGAAGCCTTCCTAAAGGTGCCTTTTGAGGAGGGGTGGTGGATTGGTCGATGGAAGGGAGGAGAGGTGTGCTGTGACCGTGACGAGGCGAGCGGTGGTCTTGGACTAATGTGGGAGCATTGGATGGGTGGATAGAATAAAGGTGAACACACGATAACCAAAAGGGCAGGTTGTCCAAAGGGTAGGTGGTGAAGTCGATGCTCACAATAATGGTGGATGGGGAAAAAAAGGTGGGATGAGATGAGTGAGGTTAACGGACCCCTTGTTGGCGGTGCCTTGGTCAGAGTTGTCGGGAACGGCTACGGCTATTTTTTCTTAAAGCTCCCATCAGCTGGTCAGGAACATGAAGGGTACTTTCCCATATGGTATCTTCCCATGCAAAACCATGTATGGTCAAAGTATCCTTTGTGGTCTTGTGTGGAGGGGCACCCAGGGGTCAGCAGGCGCATCGGATCTTGGAAACACCCTTGGAATGGTGGGGTTGGCCGGCCCGGGTGACAGACTGGCGGGCGAACGACGTCCACCTCACCTCACCTCATGCCTTACCACCCTGTCTCACTCACTACGGTGCGCAAGCAGCTCTGCGACGGAATCCCCTCGACCTTGAATTCTTCAGTGTTTTCCACCAAAAACTGAGAAGAAGTATCACCATATTTCACCACTCACTTCTCGACCCTCGAGGCCTTTGTTTCAAGTCGTGCTTTCCCTCTGCCAGCACTTGGCGCGTCCTCCCCATTGTCAACTCGGGATATCCAAGGTGAGTTCATACCTGCTGAGCGGTGACACAAACAACCCCCAGGATACACATGGACAGGCAGCTCATTGCTTATCAGGAACCCGCTATATACAATATCAAAGAAAATATTCAACAGCAAAAAACAATGGCAGCCGGCGGCGCAAAGCTCCAGACCCCCAGCTCCGAGGCCGGCGGAAGCATCCTAGACAACCCCAAGGCTACTGCGGTGGCGGTAGCGGCCACGCCTAGCTGGAACAACAAGAAGTTCAGAGAAGAGTACGAGTCTTTCAAGGCGAAGCTCCTCGACCAGAGATTCGACCCCAGTAAGTTTCAACCTCTTGCTCGTCCTGTTAGAACGGTGCTGTTACGGGGGCGAGCCTCAACGAATGTCGATAGAAAACACAAGTTTGGAGAGAGGAAGAAGAGGTGATAGAAGGGCTCTGGCTTACAAAACGTTGTCAAAAAACAGAACATTTCCCGGACCCGTTACTTCCAAGAAGCGGCTCTGACCCCCGAAATAACCCAAAGACGACGCCGGAGGCTGAGCGACGAATCGACAAGATTATTGTCGAGTACAAGACTAGGAGTTAGAGTTGCGGGATGCGTCGGTCGCCCTTTGATCTATTCTATCGGTTTGGTTGGTTTAAAGGGAGTGGAGGGGCTGAAGATATTCGTTGATTCATGCTCGAATCTGCAACTTAGGTAGGAAAAGGACGAAAAGAACAAAACAGAATCTTGAAGGATTGTATCCTCTTCATTTGTGTATGCGTGTATGAATGTTTCGTCTGCATCGACTCTTTGTCTAGCTTGTTTGATGCCCGAAATAGAGGGCGAGTTTCAAGACCCTTTTCCGCCTCAAAGGAAACACGTTTCATTCACCTTGTCGTTCCTTCCATTGTCAAAACACACGGAAACCACGAAGCTTGACCAGTGAAATGGACAAGGTCAATTATCTGAAATTAGAAAGAGCCGAGTGACTACCAGAGCCTTGTGGGGTTTCTGAGGTACACCGGGGATAGGTGGTAGGCTGAGGTGGTCACGCGGCCCAGACGGGTTCGCGGGTTTTGGTGGTCATTCACCTCTCTCAACCAACCCAACCACCCACCCGACCCAAGGTATTTCCAGAACTCTGCCTCGAAATATAACGGAGATACCTCAGCCCAGCCCAGCAAGGTCAGACCGGGGCAAAGCAGTGAATAAGAACCCCCTCGACATCTTCTTCATCTGAAAAAGCCCGGTTTGGTCGTCAAAGTACCCTAATCAGGCAAATAGCCATCTCCGATTGTTCACTCAACCTCTTCGGCCACCACCCCATATTCGACGAACCGCCTTTACGTCCCGTTGAATAATATATAAAGGCGGTACTCGGTTCCCATTGTTGCACCCATCTTTGTCGTCATACACATACATCCTCATAATCCTCGCGGATCTGAAGAACGCAAAACAAAAAAAAAACCATTCAACAACGAAGTTGAGAACGAACAGGTTTCGACAACTCCATCGTTTCCAACTCAACTTCATCAACAATCAAAGGCAATCTTCCTCAATCACAATTACTCTACTTCACCATCAAAGACCGAACCAGGTCAAACAACCCTTACACAACTTCAAAACATCCCACCTACAAAACTTCACAATGGCCAACCCCCAAACCCCATCCACCGGCGCAGGCGCCAACAACAACAACCTCACACCCATCACCAAAATCAGACTCCTCTCCAGTCGCAAGCCCATCACCCCACCCACAACAAACACAAACACCCCAAGCCCCCAGCTCAAGCAGACCAAGCTCAAGCTCAAGGCCTCGTCCTCAGCCTCGGCTGACGCCGCCAGTCGCCGCCGCAAACAACACCGCGGCTCAGACGCCGGCATCTCTCCCGCTCGTCAACCCAAGGAATCCAAGACCGCCGTCCAAGCAGCAGCCGCAAAGCCGGCAGCAGGCACAGAGGCCACGGGCATCATCAACACAACGGGAACAGGAACCTCGAACTGGTCCCCGCGCCAGCGAATCCACCACTGGCTCAACCAACAAGTCTCCATCCACCTAGCCCGCCTAAACCCCTCGTCCGCCTTCGCCGTCGCAGCTCGCCTCGGCGCCGCGGCGACGAAGAAGCCGAGGATCCTCCTCAACACGCAGAACATTCGCTGGATCCAGGCGAAGAATGGCGCCTGGGTGGAGACCTCGCTTCTGACTAGCAAGGAGCTGGCTCTTCAAAAGACGAAGACATCCGACGACGACGACGACGTTGACATGAGTGAATGAGAGACGAGAGTGCGGTACATCGGACATGGGGGCATCGGCATGTCCTGCTAATGGAAAAGGAAAAAGGGGGTTCGACTTACGACTTACGAAATTACGACTTGATGGTTGATTATTGCATCAGAGCGAGCGGTTAGAGATATACCCTCTGGGTCCTGAAGATCCCTTCATCGTCGGACTTCGTTGGATACAGGAAAAAGAAAGGGCGGCGAACATTGTCTGTTTTCATTGGAAGCATACAGTATACCCAGTGGCGTTGACGGCATGGGACATTACAACACTAGAAAGACGTGGAGCGATTCCACATGGATAGATCCCGAGATCTCACATGGAGAGAGAGAGGTGTCCTTTGGTCCATAGAGTTCCGTTTCTACACCTATACCAACGCCAACAATTGTCTGGTCAGTGGTATATATCTGTGGGATCCGAACATGAAAAGACAAGGGCATTATAGAAGCTCTAGCGCGAGAATACACCATAGACGATAGATGCTCACGCAGTTACGAGCATAATAAGAAAACGATACCGATACTATTGTTCTAAACTCCCATTCCACAAAGATTGACCTTCGAGTTGGATGTGCGCTTCACCACACTGACAGTGAGGAGGAAGACAAATTCCTGAATCAGTGGAAAGTGACCTGTGATGTGCAATGTGATATGACTGCTCTACTGCTATTGTAGTCTTGCTTTACGGAAACCAGATAAACACAAGGTAGAGACCAGATCAATGACGCTTCTTGCGTTCAGTCCATCACCGGAACTCACCAAAGTCGAGCATAGCTACCAAGAGAGCGGCTCAGGAGCGGTAGGCTTGCGGCTTGCGGCTCGTCCCAGGAGCCGCCGTTGGCCGCCCAGGGAACCTATCCCAAGGAGAGAAAGGTGGGACATATTGGACCTGTCTCGATCCAAACCTTGTACTTGGCTTTCGTCCTCTCGTTCTCTTTCTCTCTCAGATTGATCTAGATCGTCCGGCTTTGGCACATGGCAATCGCAATCCGAAAAAGGCATCGACCCCTCATCGGCAGAACACGGAAAGCATCGACGTCGAGCTTGCATCTTTACGCATGAAAGTGCCTCAACGGCACGCGAGGCTCCGTCAGACCTAACCTGTAAAGAAGGCATCAGAGATCTATCCGATGCCGACGGGATCTTGCTAGAGCTGCCAAGAACGTGAACTATTGCAAGCTGATGCCGAACTGCTAGTCTCAAAAGTGGAAAGTATTCATGTGAGACGGGGCCGTCCATATGCACGAAGGGTCGTACAAAGAAAGCACGTAGGTTCGTCGGCATGTGGCTTCCGAGAGAGAGAGAGAGAGAGAGAGAGAGGGGATGTCAGTCAATTAGGAATTCGGGCCACAGCTTGGACGAAACCTTTACTTTGCTGGGTTGACAACCCGGGATTGGCGAGGTGCAGATCCGGCGGGTCGGGTCGAGTGTCCTTTCGGACGAGTCTAGGTATCGCTCAGGACGTTGTATGGTTGCGAAACGTTGGTGGAAAGACGCGCGGTCGCGCGGTAGAAGAGACTTGAAGCAGAGTTTGAGTGTACAGTAGCTCGAGGGGGTGATAGGACATGTTCGTTGGTCGTGCCTGACACTGGACCATGTATTCGTGACTCCTGCATAGGTTGAGCATTTCTTGTTGAGAACATATCGACCTTTCTTCCGTATGTGTTATCAGACGGGGATATTCTGTGCCGAGGAACCGCCAGCCAACTTCCCATCCATCGCTCAGGCATGCGCTACGTTTTTCCGGTGAGGCATGCCCGTGTTGCCGCCGTTTCTCGTATAGCGGTTTGGGGACACTTTAGTAACGATGCAAGACATGAGGTTGGTCATTGTAGCGGTTGCGTGGCGTGGCAATGAAGCGAGCCTAGTGACTCGTTGACAAAAACCCGCAAACCCGTCATGTCTCGAACGCTGGACAACGTCGGATCGGACGGGGAGCAAACTTTGAAGTCCCACTCCCTCGTCGAGGAGGACGAAGAAGAGGCGATTGACGTAGTGGAGTCGATCAGTTTGTGTAGCGTAGCGGCGGGACGGTTGCTCCACCAAGAGGTGAACGGCGGGGAAAATTGGCGATTGTCGTTGGACTTCCATGCGTCCATCCTGTAATCGTGCGTGGGGGAATGTCGGGGTTAACGTCTTGACAGTGAGGTCCTGTCAAGTGAATCGTGGCGCAGGAATCCATCCCGCAGCCACTTGGGATGTAAAGCAGGATTCGGAGGACATCCCGCGGCGTAAGCATATGGTCGCAGTGAGTGGTGCTCCGGTACCGATACATTGATCTTGGATGGGTTTGACAGGTATAGAGGACCATGCTATGCCATGTCAGGCCATGCGGGATTGCGAGTCGTCGCCATGAGGCCGGTCATTCCAAGACTGGGTTTGGGGCACGCTTGGAGTTGACCGATTATTGAAGACATGTCGGTGTGGTAGGACGGATACATCAGGTGAATGACCGACTGACTAGCTTAGTGTAGAGGTCAGGAGGGAGGAGCAAGGAGATATGTTCGCCAGTATGACGATTCTATGCGCTTATTACCTTGAATATCGTGACAGCTGATGATATCCTGTCTTTAGACAAGTTGGCGAAGCTTGCAACGGGACTCCTCATTGGCCTACGTTGAGTCCTGCCCCTTGTTTGCCACGCCATGAACGTTCCTCATTGAAAGAAACTGTCTTGGCCCAGTATTGATGAGGCCAAGCTCCTCAGCACCCTTTGATAAGCAATGACCTACTTTGGTATGCCGGACAGCGGTTGAACAGGAGTTGTTTGCAACTCGTCAATCAATAAGCTAGATTTGACCGCCGCATTGCCTCGAATTTTTTTTTTGTTGCGCCAGATAGTCCGCCACACGGGGCGATAGAAAATTCAGTTATCGAGAGAAGTAGGAGCTGTGAGGGCGAACTTGAGGGATAATAGACCGGGGTGACCTTGTACTGTGGTACAACGTCGAAAGCTGACATTACGGAAGCTCGAAGACAGTGGCGGATTTCTTGAAGGCTGAAGCTGGAATTGTCCCGAGAGACAATCCAGACCCGACTTCTGTCTTAACCTGCTGGTGCATGGATTCGAGCAGTTGCAGATGGAGAAGCGTCAAAGGTGATGGGAGCTGATGAGTGGTTGATGACGGCCCCCCCAAAGCAGAGCCCCCCTTCTTGGCTCGGCGAGGTAATTAATGGATCATAACTGTGCCGCAGGTATCGCCGTGGGAGGTAAACCGATAAGTGATAAGATAGCAAGGTTGTTGGTGTGGTATTTGGGGGTAATCTATACGTATCGGTAGCTGTACATTCCAATCGCTTGGAGTCAAGTACAGAGGGCGAGACCGTGAGATGATGGAGGTATTGTACTTTGGCATGGCGTTGTGTTGCAGTCAATGCTTCGCTGGAAGAGGCGATGTGGATGTTGGTTCGTCGAGACTTATTGACTCATCCTCCTTGTCAATCGCATCGTCCGTCAAGCCCACCCTCCAGTGCACCCACCCCGGCGGTTCGCTCGCGGCATGCCCTTGTCGAATGGAGGGGAATGGCCCGCCGGCGGGTCAACCTACTGGTTTCCCGAGGAGGATCCCTTGGGTCGGCGGTCTCGGAGGGAAGCCGGCGAAGCCCCCCAAGCCTGTTCTGGGGCCCGCCGAAGAGATGGTTGAAATATTCGTAGCGCGGTAATGCGCCGCCTCCCCGTGGCGCTTTTCTTGTACTGACTTGTGTCGCTCAGCCCGGAGATGAAGTCCTGAATACCGGTACCTAGGTTGGTTGGATGGCAAAGCTGGTAAATATGCTCCGGTTGATAGTTCGTTCAAGGCGCGAGAGGCGCGAGAGGCGCTGGACATTCCTCTCTGGATCTTGGGTCCGTTCTAGAAGGTCGTTTGGAACACTGCTTCCCTGCAATGGAGCAGGCCTAGCCGAAGTGTGGCGCGATGGCACCCTAAGTATAAGTTGGAAGACATGGTGTTTCTTCTTGGAATGACTTACAAAGTCAGCTCTTGAGGATAGAAATGAATCAGACACCTGAGATTGCACCGCGAGGAAACGAGGAAGATACCAAAGCTTGTCTCATGGTTGCTTCTGGCGGAGGGCACCGAGAGACAGGCGGGGATAATTACTGCAGTTGAAGGAGACGCGAAGCCAAAAAGGGAACCCGTGAAAAGTGCAGGTGCAGGTGCAAGTGGAAGCGGATGCAAGAGGCAAGAGGCAGGCGGGGTGAGGTGCACCTGCTGCATCTGCATCTGCTCTGCACCTGCACCGGCTTCGGGGGCTGGAACTTGTAGTTTGTACTCCGTAATACCTACATGTCGACGAGATGCATTTATGCAGCGTGAGATACTTACTATTCTGACAGTACCAGTCTCACCGGGGGCAAATACCTTGGATAAGATGCAGTCATCCAGCCAGTCGCATTTTGATTATTCCCGGGGCGCAAGTAGGACGCACAGAGCGCGGTAAGCACCGGCGGATTGGCCGTTGATTTGTGGAATGCTGTGGAGGCAATCCAGAACACTTTGAAAAGTCTCAAACTCTCCCCAAAACGGCATTCCGAGCTCTGTACCCGTACTTTCGAGTGAGTCTCTTGAACCTCCTCTCGTCAGTGGAAGTAAGTAGGTATACAGACACACAGGGTGGCGGTATCTAGACGATCCTTGGTGTCTTGGTGCTGATTCTCTTGCCCAGCTTTCTCCCACATCTACACTGTATCGCACCTTGCCTAGGTTGCCAAAGCATGGTGAAGCTACCTTTAGATTAAGGTAGATAGATACCCTCCAAGCTGTATGTGGAGTTATCTTTGGCCGGCGGGCTAATACCTTACCTTTACCTTGCAGCTGCATCGCACCTTCCACCGGCACCTTACGGAGTAGATTGTGACTCTTCTCCCTAACATCGTCGAGACTCGACCGTCCAAGTGAGAGCTGAGGCTGGACTTGCCCGGAATTCCCGTCCTCTTTTTTTTTTTTTTTTTTTTTTCTTAATTTTTTTTAATCCTCTACTCCGTATCTTACCCCAGGCACTTGAACAGGGCAGGGCTTTCCCATTTAACAACTCACCAAAAGTAACCTACCTACAACATCCAGGTGGACATTGGGTACCGAGTAGGACGCAGCCTCTTGTGACAGGCACCTGCCTTCCACAAACGACCCCACTTTCAAAGAGAACAGGCTTGAATCCAGGTCGCCGCTTTCCTCCCACGCCTCTTACCTCACTCCGCCTCACCTCCTCTCCTCGCCTGCAACCTGCCACTCACAGAGTTCCGACTCTCCCACGCTTCATGCTCGCATCCAATCCTCTTTACCTCACCTCATCTCACCGGGCCGACGACCACTCACTCAGCTTTGTTATTTTACCCCACGAAATACTCGGGGTGCCTCACAGGCCAACTTCTCACCTCACCTCAAAGGTTAACTCTCCACGCTTGACCTCATTTCGACTCGTCCGTCTCCACCCTTGAAGGCTTGGACCCAATTGTTCCAGGTTCCCAGAATCGGGTCGTTTCTCCCCTCACGAACCGGAACCCTCGACCTCGACGACGGAGTACTATATTCGATTCGAGACTACCTACAGTCTACCACAAGACGAGTGCCACTTCACGATCCGCCCCTCTGGACATCCGCTCGCTCTCACTGGATGCTGTCATCAACATCATCACGGACTCCCTGGCTTCCATTCGGGCCTTACCAAGGACCACCTCAGTCCATTTGACACTGGCTGGGCTGCTACGCTGTCGCTGCCGCTGCCGACCCACTTTCATACCTCACGATACCCAAGCACCCAAAGGTACCTTACCTCACAAGAGTACCGTACCCAACGGAGACAGACACTTCGCTGCTCGCAGCCGCTCTGTCCTCCTATTCTATCCGGCCTGGCAGTGGACCTTTCCTTTTTTCCACGGGTGACTGGCTGGAAGTGCGCATCTCAGTTCAGCTTGCACAGCGCATTCGCCTCCACAGCTGGGCAGCCGGCGCTGTGTACCTACACCTCAGTCAATAGGTCACATCAGCCATACCTAGGGACGCAGACAGTACCCCGTACTCGACACCAAAGGTACAATACAAGAAGGACGGCAAAAAAGGCAGGAAGCAACAAGCCTCGAGACTCAACTGGACGCAGTCACGCCTTCCCCTCTCGTGGTCCTGTCCCCCCTCCCCTCCCCTACCGCCTCCACCCTCCCGCCTCCACCCTCCCGCCTCCACTCCCACGCACACAACCTGAAGGCAACCCGCTCTCATAGCGTGGCCTGGCTCTCTCTCTCACACTCCATCCCACTCTCACTCCCACTCAACTTCTCAACCCCCTCCAGCGAGAGAGAGAAAAAAAAAAA